ATGGATACAAAGAAAGATTTCTTCATACCCATGACTACGTGAATATGAAGCAGAGAAAAGAACACATTTTTAATGATTCATCTGAACTATTAATAAAAAGTAAGTATTAAAATTGTTATGGGATCTTACCCATAATAATAATAATGGACTATTCCATACTTAATAAATACTGCGCCTCAGGAGTAGGCAAGGAGTCAGTCGACCCAGTACTTTTTGAGTGACTGTTCGGTTCAACTCTCTGTCTACAGACGGACCCCGAAGGAGGCAGTACTTTTTAAACTCCGCCCTGGACCCGTTCATACGGGTTCAACCTAATGGCTCTGTCTACAGACGTGGGGGTGACTGAATATTGTCAGTCGACCCAGTACTTTTGAGGACTGTTCTACGTCTACAGACGGAGGAAGGAGGCTACGCCGAAGGGCGGAGTCTCCTTCGGGGAGGTAAAACCGGCCTTGAACCCGTTTATACGGGTTCAAATGGGCTATTTTGTGGCCGAGCCTAATGGTTCAGGAATGCCCACGTTAAAAAGGCCTTGTGCCACATGACACCCTCGTGGGGGGGGGTGACTGAATATCGTTAGTCGACCCAGTACTTTTTGAGTGACTGTTCGGTTCAACTCTCTGTCTACGGACGGAGAGGAACCCGAAGGAGGCTACGCCGAAGGGCGGAGTCTCCTTCGGGGAGGTAAAACCGGCCCTGAACCCGTTTATACGGGTTCAAATGGGCTATTTTTTGGCCGAGCCTAATGGCTCGGGAATGCCCACGTTAAAAAGGCCTTGTGCCACATGACACCCTAGTGGGGGGGTGACAGAATATCGTCAGTCGCTCTCTTTCTGAGCAACTGTTCGGTTCAACTCTCTGTCTACGGACGGAGAGGAACCTGAAGGAGGCTACGTCGAAGGGCGGAGTCTCCTTCGGGGAGGTAAAACCGGCTCTGAACCCGTTTACGGGTTCAATGGGCATATTTTGGGGCCGAGCCCACGGGCTCGGGAAACCCACAATAAATAACCGACCTTGTGTCACATGCTGCCCTAGTGGGGGGGGGTGACTAAATATCGTCAGTAGTTCAAGTCGACTCAAAAGTCGAGTCAGAGGCAGTCCAAAACAGAGTCGCGTTCAGACAATTACTGCAAGGCATTGGAATAGTGATACTGGTCGAGACTACATTGTTCTCTCTACTAAACCTGATTGTTCATACTAACACTTCTACTTCTCTGTATATATTCCTGTTTGTAATATATGTATGTTATTCCAAACCTGTTTTCGAGTTCTTTATTGGTTCTAACTTGGACTATCACCGTGGTACAAGGAACCGGACCATAACAAGTGACGACGAAGATTCGAATTCATTTGGTGGAAGAGAAAAAAAAAATCGTTCGCCACAGTATAACAAGTGGCGACGAGGAAACCAACTTTCTACGCGGAGGACATACTTTTTTTTGCTATCCGTGGCGCATAACAAAAATAAATGATAAAAATCAAATAAGATTATGTAACATCCTAATATAAAAACGACAATAGGCTGCGTGTATAAATATGAGGACTTTTGTTGACTGTGCGCTGGCGTATACCAAAGCTGCACTAGGAACCGGACCATAACAAGTGACGACGAAGATTCGAATTCATTTGGTGGAAGAGAAAAAAAAATTCGTTCGCCACAGTATAACAAGTGGCGACGAGGAAACCAACTCTCTACGCGGAGGACATACCTTTTTTTTATCCGTGGCGCATAACAAAAATAAATGATAAAAATCAAATAAGATTATGTAACATCCTTATATAAAAACGACAATAGGCTGCGTGTATAAATATGAGGACTTTTGTTGACTGTGCGCTGGCGTATACCAAAGCTGCACTAGGAATCGGACCATAACAAGTGACGACGAAGATTCGAATTCATTTGGTGGAAGAGAAAAAAAAAAATTTGTTCGCCACAGTATAACAAGTGGCGACGAGGAAACCAACTCTCTACGCGGAGAACATACCTTTTTTTTGCTACCCGTGGCGCATAACAAAAATAAATGATAAAAATCAAATAAGATTATGTAACATCCTAATATAAAAACGACAATAGGCTGCGTGTATAAATATGAGGACTTTTGTTGACTGTGCGCTGGCGTATACCAAAGCTGCACTAGGAACCGGACCATAACAAGTGACGACGAAGATTCGAATTCATTTGGTGGAAGAGAAAAAAAAAATTCGTTCGCCACAGTATAACAAGTGGCGACAAGGAAACCAACTCTCTACGCGGAGAACATACCTTTTTTTTGCTACCCGTGGCGCATAACAAAAATAAATGATAAAAATCAAATAAGATTATGTAACATCCTAAAATAAAAACGACAATAGGCTGCGTGTATAAATATGAGGACTTTTGTTGACTGTTCGCTGGTGTATACCAAAGCTGCACTTCCCTGTATTCTTCAGTTATGCTTCAAACGTTATATATTTATCTTTTTATGTCCCTCATTGTTTTTTAATGTCCGAAACCTTTTAATTCTTCGATAGTGTTTCGTCAGCATTCCTGACACACAACCCGCAGGCGAAGGCAGAAATTTTACACTATTTACATTATTGGGACTATTGTCCTCATCTTTGTCGCTATATTTATCACAACGTTTCGGCCGTTGTACCCTCCGGCGTTTTTCAGGTGGTTGGAATATCTAACTGAACGCTTTGTTTCGCTCGCTGGGGTAGACTGTTCTAGTTCCACGTGTCATGAGTAATGGATATCAGCTATCTCCTACTTAATTCCCTTTCTAAGATCTCTTAACCAGGTATTGAACTCAAAGTCTTTTGGGTCCTGTCACTGGATCTAACCAACGCCTTTATCATCTGTGTCATGTGTCCTTGAAGACATCTGTGTATGAATTTCTGGGTATTATAAACCTAATGTCTTCAGCAACCAGTTCCCATATTGCAATTTTTGCTGTTATCAATACATGTTTTTACCAGAGCTCATATTGCATTTTTTGTTATTATTACTTTTCTCTGGTACACTTTATTACTGGTTCCCATATTGTATTCATTTCTATGCTTGGTCGAATTATGTCAGTAGTGTACATAATACCTCATCTCAGAAATATAGACAGGCAGAAAATCTGTTGAACATTTCTCAAATGAAAATTTTATCAAAACGTCATGACATATTTTTTCGTCATTTTGGGTTTTAGGAATAGAGAGTCATATTGATCCTGTTTCTCAACACTGATTTCAATTGAGCTTGATGGATTGCTTATCACCTTTCCCGGTTGGATGGGTCACTTAACTGTTGTTGTATGCCAACATGTTGAGTTCATACATGTTTAGCTATGACTTTGAAAGAATTAGAGAGACTAAGCAACAGAAGCTATGTTGACTCATACGAATCTGCAGGTAAAGGCGATAGACGTTTCTAGTGTGACGCCATTCGTGGTGTAATTGTGTCAAAGTTCACCGATTGTTCGTCGCATACTACACCTGGGATTCCATCCAAGATTGAGTGTATTTGCATATACACCTAACTCGCTATGTGCACAGGTTTGTCTTCTTGGCCACGATCGCTTTAAACAAAAAAGGAATATTGTTTTTCAAGAATCTCTGGTTGAGGAAGTCGCCACAATATGATTTCTCACTTGATCGTTGGACCCTTTCTTCAGCACCGAGAGGTGGGTTGCTATCTTCCTAACTTTACTGGCTTCGGTGACTCCTGATTTCTCACTATCAGTCCTTCGATCACTGGAATCAACTCCTCTGGTCACCTACTTACTTCTCTCACAGATGGACCCACATTGCCCGACGTCCTGCCCCTCTCTGCTTATATGGATAATCCTATGGTCATATCCCTTCATCCACTTGTCTTCTGAAAGATTTGGGACCGCCCCAAAGCTACATGGGTGGTCAAATCTCCAAAAGACTTCTTTTATGACCATCTAAAATCATTTAAAAGTTTTATGTTTGCTAATTCAAAAGCAACTGTAGACATAAATCCCCCAAAATACGGACATTTAAATTTACTCAATGATGAACTGGAGACAAAATTCCTACAACACTCAGATAACTAAGTGGACTTAAAGAAAAGAAATTTATCTCCTTCTCTTCTAAAGTTGTGCGAGAAATCATATTGTTACATTGGGGACCTTGGCTATGAGAGGTTATTAACCTATGGCAGGAAAGAGACGCCTATGTTAAAATTAAATGTTACTAAGCCGAAGCTTAAAAGCATCCATGTTATTCCATCCATGTTGTTTTCTGTTTTAAACGACGGAATGAGTCAGCCCTCGTGTTTCTCAATATCATGGAGCAAATGGCAATGGCAGGCACACGCCCTCAACCTTTTTGAAGATAAGAGGATTTCTTCTGCGCAAAGAAAAAGAAAACAAGAAAGAAAATGGATATATCTAACGATAATACTTAGGACAAGAACAGCACATATAAGATTCGCCAACGGCGCGTAGAAGTAGTAGTCAACTGCTAGAAGTGGGTCAAGTGATTTCCATAATGAATCTCCAGCTGCAGGATATCTACCAACAGCCCTCCGCGGTCAGATGTGGCACAAGGTCAAATTTAATGTGGGTTATCCGAGCCTGTAGGCTCGCCCCAAAATTCCTCGTAGACCCCGTATAAAACGGGGTCGGGTAGCTATTTCCGGAGACGAGACAATTTCCTTCGACATAGCCTCTTCTGGGGATCTTCTCTACACGGAGGCAAATAGTTTGATTAGCACAGCTGGACACGAATCTAACAACTGCAGACCAAAATCGAGTATTTACTACTGAATTTATGGGAATGGAGACATACACATTATCGTCCGTAGGTATGCTAAAACAATGACATTACACTCTAAATGATGTTCGTCTTGCATCAGTATATTTTTCAAAAATTACTGTTATAGCAGGTTAATCAGATGATTATTTTCTAATGCCATATTCCTTCTGAACGTCAGCGATCAATCTTGTACACGTAATCGCTTATATTATTATTATTATTATTATTACTACTACTACTACTGCTGTTAGTATCTGTGGATTACCATGTTATCTATCTATCTATCTATCTATCTATCTATCTATTAGTCTTTCATCTTCTCCATATCTCATTCTCTGGTGAAGATTTAATATAAATGATTCATGTTAAATTGTTAAACGTTTCCCATTTTTCTTTATGTTATCTATCTATCTATCTATCTATCTATCTATCTATCTATCTATTTGGGAATAATAACGTATTTGTCATTAATGCATTGTTATCTCAGTAAGTATCTCAGTTTCTTCATTGCGTATCTATCTATCTATCTACTGTAGTCTGATCATATGTATCTATCTGTCACTTGTTATTCATATAAGTATCTAAGTTTCTTCATGACGTATCTATCTATCTATCTATCTATCTATCTATCTATCTATCTATCTATGTATTAGACTTTCTTCTGCTCCATATCTCATCTCTGGCGAAAGTTTAATGAAAACGGAACATGTTAAATTGTTAAAAGTTTCCCATTTTTCTTTATGTTATCTATCTATCTATCTATCTATCTATTTGGGAATAATAACGTATTTGTCATTAATGCATTGTTATCTCAGTAAGTATCTCAGTTTCTTCATTGCGTATCTATCTATCTATCTACTGTAGTCTGATCATATGTATCTATCTGTCACTTGTTGTTCATATAAGTATCTAAGTTTCTTCATGACGTATCTATCTATCTATCTATCTATCTGTGAATAATAACGCATTTATCATTAATGCATTGTTGAATTAATTATAACTTAAATTATTTGCTGTCCACAAAACCTTACTCTTTATTTGATTCTTTTTATCATTTTTCTATATGTTTTGATGATTGTAATATTCTGTAAGCCATCTTTATGGCATTTCGGTTGTCGTAACGCTTTCTATTATGCATGATATATATTTCCGTTTATATCGCAACATTTTCCCACAGACTCAGGGGAAGTTTGTTAGGTATTTTATCAAAATATACACGCATATTTTACATCAATAATACAATCATTTATAGTCAGACGTAGTTTAGTGGACATGAATGAGAAGTTGATCAAAATAAAAGCAAACCAAAACCAAAGCGTGAATGCATATGTATAAACACACGTACTCGAACACACGTTTATATATATATATAAAGATTATTGAATCCTGGTTAGTGTGGTTGTATCAGTAACATTTGTTCCCGTTCGGAGTCTACAGCTACGGTATAGGAGATTGCTTGGCCCGTTTTGGTCCACGCCCAGACTGATTTTCAGCAATCATAGCACATACTTGATTTAAATATATACATCACATTTGAAACCTTGCGTTGTAAATACAACAAAAGACAAGAATATACTGTTTTTATTTCTTATTTTAGCTTTGGTCTTGTGTAGTGAGCACCGTTTTCGTTTACTTGTTGCAGTTTTTGTGCAAATTATTCGATTATAAATTCGTATATATATATATATATATGTTTATGTTCTTAATACACTTGAATATGTGGGTATATATAAAAAATGTATAACAATAATAAAATAACGAAAATAATTGTCGGACTTAGTCCATTTCGTAGTGTGTCTCTTATTAATATAAACGTTCTTTCTTTCTTTTTCATTTGGGTACACATCCCCCATTCTTTTTCTTAAACAGTGAAATTAATATCAGCCAACCTTATATAAATAACGTATAAAAATAAAATATGTTAAAATAGTTGTGTTTCATTTCGTAGGTGTGACGTTATTTGTTTAAGTTTAGATACACTTCGAGCAGATGTGGACGTTCGAGGTAAATCATGAGAAATTTGTAGTTTAAAAGCAGTAAAATCGACCTTGCTCCTTCGTAGCTAAACTGGTATAGCACGTCAGGCTATATGACAGTACCTGTCGGAGGACGCATATTTTCCTATGGAGTTTCTCGGACCTTCAGGCCGGGAAACGCGGTTAACACTGTTTATTATAAACAGAGCATTTAATCAAATATTTCTGTATATATAAGTAACGTATAACAATAAAATGTATTAAAATAATTGTCGGATTTAGTCCATTTCGTAGTGTGTTTCTTATTAATATAAACGTTTCATTCTTTCTTTTTCGGTTGGGTATTCATCCACCCTTCTTTTTCTTAAACATTGGAATTAATATCAAGCAACCTTGATCGAATAACAATTAAACTATATATATATATATATATATATATGTGTGTGTGTGTGTGTGTGTGTGTGTGTGTGTAAATGATAAGATAAAGAACAAAAACTAAAAAAACTTTTTATAACTCTAAGGTTTCAATTTTATTAACACTTCATCAGGGGATAAGATATGGAGAAAAAGAATAAATGTTTTTGGAGATTATGATTAGTACTGCAACACCACCACAAAATTCATAATCTTACCAATTAATATTCTTTCGAATAAACTTGTAAATAAATGAGTTATCCATAATACTAGCATATTTACTAAGATAATCGGAAATATAATTGGGAAGAAAAATAAATCCAGGACTGTTTCAGATGCACTTACTTATCAAATAAAGGTTTCAAAATGTAAAAGAATTGATGTCGGTGAGACATCACGAGATCTAACAAGCCTCATATATTTTTAATAGAGTTCGCCCCCAAGCAAGGCAGTAAAGCCAATAAGATGCAATGGGTTACCGTGTGAGGGAAGAATTAGAAAGAGAAATATTACTAAGAAACGAGAACAAAATTAAAACATTCGTCAGGACAATATATACAGATTGACATTGCTCTGTGGACATAAAAGAGATTTACATTTAGACAACCAGGAAATCTCTCTCGTAATATACAGGAACAAAACTGGCCATGAAGCTGACTTTACTAATTCCATCCTAATTTAAAATAGAACATAATTATTTACGTAGAAAGTACTCCGAAGGTATACTAATAAAAATATTACTAATTACAAACGCACGTCCAAAACATTATATTACCTCACAAAACTTTATTGAATCCATTTTAAAAGAATCTAACGTGTGTGTGTTTTTAAGAAACGCTATGTACGTAAAACTTTCCCATATCAACATGTTAACAGCCACTAAACACACATACAGACGCCCGCGCGCACAGACACACGCACACACACAAACGCACACACAAACACTTACGAACATACATTATCATCTGAATCCTACATAGAAAAACTAGAATTATTATACACTTGCATACATAAAGCAATATTTAGTGTTTTTCAGATAGGCTTGACATTCGTTAATTTGTTGAAACTTCGGATGGACGCGTCGTCTCTTCTTGAATTCGGAACGTCAAATATTATACTAACGTTGGTTTAAAAGTCGAATGTACGGGAAACGTGATTAACCAGTGAAAATCAGTCAACACAAAAATAAAAAAAAGAGAATTCTGCAGAATTCTGAATTTTTTATGCAGATCTCTTATTCTATTACATTGATAAACATTTCTTATTTATTCTTTATCTTATCATTCTCCCGGATTCCAGTCCCCATTTGATCCCAACTCTCTCTCTCTCTCTCTCTCTCTCATATATATATATATATATATATATATATATATATATATATATATATATATATATATATATATTAATACAGGGATGATGGCATGAATATGTCGAAAGTACTTGGTAATAAAACAAATATTAGTGAAGTACGAGAGAAAATTGTTATGTTTATACATGATGAGTTTCTCTCGTCCTTCACTAATGACATCAATTAACATGCATCAAAGGATCTTATCAAAATAAAAAGAGAGAATATGTCTAAACTGTATAACGACACATGCCATAATATATATATATATATATATATATATATATATATATATATATATTGCATGTTGAATGTGCAGTATAAAGGGGTATAAAGTCTACATTTTTACAAGCAATTGCGGGAGAATGCATGAAGCAACATTCACCGGCAGTTTATTGAGAAATATGAAATCTCTTCCAGTTAATATGGTATTGTGCTCTATCTCTTCGGTGTGTCCTCCTATCTGTTGAAGACTAGGAGAAGGATTTCTTTAATTTAATTATATTATATACTGTGTTACGGAGGACATTGTGGGCATGATATTATTGAGTACTATTTTTCTGAGAAGTATGCTTCTTTGGTGTGATCCTACTGTTTTCCATGTTATCGATCCATTTCTCGATACGCCTGGGAAATTTGTCTGGTTTTCTCTCAAATGGTGATTTTACTGAATTTTTCTATCTTGACCAGAAAGACTTCCACCCTACTCAGTTGAAATAGTTGTGTGCGTATATATATATATAAATATATATATATATATATATATATATATATATATATATATATATATATATACACAACTATATATATATATATATATATATATATACCCAAGTATACGATTGGTGCATACGGAATAAATTCCAATAAACAACAATTACTATTCTTAAAAGCGTACTCAATACAAAGTAGAGCGAATATAATTATTTATTTAAAAATTATAACATAAATATATTATAAAATCACTACAAAAATAGTCATTTTGTTTCAACACCTCTGGTGTCTTATCAAGTGATGATGTTGAATGTAGATTGTAGAATAAAGGTTTTAAAAGGTTCAAATTAATGAACCACCCCTCCTAAGGGGAAACGCTGTTACATGAGCTGAAATGACCAATCAAAATACAAGTATACGAGAATTCAAAAAACTTGACAACGAAGTAAGGCTATAATAAGTATTAATTGCTTTAAAGTTGTGTTTACACTAAAATAGAATTTATTCTAACTAATAAGTATTAAATTGTACGATAAAATTTTAAATTAAAATTAAAATCTACCCATTTCAAAAATATAAATTTAATCTATATTACGTTTAAAATTTTAAAATTATTGAGGAAAAAAGAAAACAAAACATTTGTTATTCTATTCATTTTGTTTCATTTGAAAATACGTTGGGATAAACGTTAAGATCGACTGCCCTTAACTTAATGTAGGTACCTCCACGAAATTGCTACAAAAAACATATAGCATGAAAAAAAACGATGTAATAAATTTTTATCGGCTTAAATATATATATCATTCTTAAGAAGAAACACCAAAGTATTTTTTGATTATTTTTAAAAATTTTTTAC